TATACATGGGGTATATAAGGGTATATAGTGTATACATGGGGTATATACAGTGTATATAAGGGATACATACAATGTATACATGGGGTATATAAGGGGTATATATAGTGTATATAAGGGGTATATACAGTATATACATTGGGTATATAAGGGTATATAGTGTATACATGGGGTATATACAGTATATACATGGGGTATATAAGGGGTATACAGTGTATACATGGGGTATATAAGGGTATATAGTGTATACATGGGGTATATACAGCGTATATAAGGGGTACATACAATATATACATGGGGTATATAAGGGGTGTATACATGGGGTATATAAGGGGTATATATAGTGTATATAAGGGGTATATACAGTATATACATGGGGTATATAAGGGTATATAGTGTATACATGGGGTATATACATGGGGTATATAAGGGGTATACAGTGTATACATGGGGTATATACAGCGTATATATACATGGGGTATATAAGGGGTGTATACATGGGGTATAAAAGGGGTATATATAGTGTATATACGGGGTGTATACAGTGTATACATGGGGTATATAAGGGGTATACAGTGTATACATGGGGTATATAAGGGTATACAGTGTATACATGGGGTATATACAGTGTATATAAGGGGTACATACAATGTATACATGGGGTATATAAGGGGTGTATACATGGGATATAAAAGGGGTATATATAGTGTATACATGGGGTATATAAGGGGTATATATATAGTTTATATAAGGGGTATATACAGTGTATACATGGGGTATATAAGGGGCATATACATGGGTATATAAGAGGTATATATAGTGTATACAAGGGGTATATAAGTGATATATACATGGGGTATATAAGGGGTATACAGTGTATACATGGGGTATATAAGGGTATATAGTGTATACATGGGGTATATACAGTGTATATAAGGGGTACATACAATGTATACATGGGGTATATAAGGGGTGTATACATGGGATATAAAAGGGGTATATATAGTGTATACATGGGGTATATACAGTGTATACATGGGGTATATAAGGGGTATATATATAGTTTATATAAGGGGTATATACAGTGAATACATGGGGTATATAAGGGGCGTATACATGGGGTATATAAGGGGTATATACAGTGTATACATGGGGTATATAAGGGGTATACAGTGTATACATGGGGTATATAAGGGTATATAGTGTATACATGGGGTATATACAGTGTATATAAGGGATACATACAATGTATACATGGGGTATATAAGGGGTGTATATATAGTGTATATAAGGGGTATATACAGTATATACATGGGGTATATAAGGGTATATAGTGTATACATGGGGTATATACAGTATATACA